TCTGCTTTAGGAGTAACGGAGGCGAGGGGGACTTTAGGAACGAAGGGGTGGTGTGAGATATGCAAGTGACATTCCTCTGAGTCCTTATCGATCTCTTTAGTATTTGAAGAGGAAGTGTCTGTTAAGCCCTGCAAGATTTTTTCTCTGTTGCATCTTTCAACGGTTTTAGTTATTATATGGAATAAAGGCAAATAATTAGTTACAGAGAAATCCTGGTTTGTTTGGGAGATATATATTGTGTTCCCGATCATATCCCAAAACGAATTTTCAATGACTGCTTTCTTATCAGTATCAGGGTATTGCGAAATAATCCAAGTTACAAATTTTTTAAGGTTAGTTTTCGAGAGCTTGCCTTTAGAAAAGGAGAAGTTGTTAGCAGATAAGATTTCTAAAATAGTTGAATATATCTCTCTCTCGGTTTTACTTAGTTTTAATGTACTAAAAATTGTACCCATGTTAATGGTTAGCCCTTCCAGCAGAAAAAAAACGTGAAAAAAAAGAAAAAAAAAACCCGAAACCAAAAAGTTTTAGAGCCCCGAAGTTATGCGCGCAATATTAGTTAATACTTACAATTCCTGGGGTCCGAGATCTGTGGAAGGGGTCTGCTGTCGTCAGTTCTTCTCGGAACTTTCTGTCGTTCAGATGTAAGTTTTGAGTGTCGAACTGACCCTCCTGGGGAAAGGATTTTCTAAAACGAAGAGTCCCTTCACAGAAGGAGCGGCTTCCCAAACAGGCAATCACAGAAAACCCCAGGGGGGCTTCGTTGCTCAACCGACGGATATCGCCTCTGAGGGAGTCCGTTGTCCGAAGTCGTTGGGCGCCACTTTAATAAAGCCTCTTATTTGGCCTTATCATAAAGCAGAGCACTAGGGCTCAGGAGCTCAGTCCCTGGCTAGGGACCGGGTGCCCGAAGCTAGCTCGCTCATGCCAAGGCCGCAGGGCTACCATCTAGCAAGCATGGTGATTATCAGCTCTATAGTGATTGCAAGCTCTCAGGATTTCAGCTCTGCTTGCTAGGTAGTGGTGCCCTGGGCTTGAGGCTGCAGCAGACGGAGAGAGAGGAGAAGGAGAAGGCGCAGGCTGTTCCACGGAGATGGCTTTATTTGGGGAGGTCCGTGAAGGGTCTCTGCTCTTCTTCTTTCTCCCCTAATGGGGTACAGTACGCTTCTTTTATAGGGTTGGAAAGGATCCAAGCTTGACCAATGGGTAAGGGGTTAACATGACATTGCCTTATAGGGTTACAGAGGTAGGTTAGGGGGTGGAGGACAGAAAAACAGGAATTTTCTTTTGCTGTTTCAGCATTCCTATTGTTCATATCCTCCATGGTGCTTTTCCTAAATCTATGGGGTTTACTACACCTCTCTGCAGGAGGATGGGAGAAAATAAAACATGTTTTCAACTCACCAGGCAGCTGACTAAGAGAGAGGGGACAGATAAATCACATTCATCCCAACAGGAAGCCTTGCCTGGAGCAGGGACATCTGCATATGGAAAATATGGATATGCACTGGTGAGCCTTGAGTCCCACTACACTCGTGTATCCTTTACAGCATCACTTATGCTGAGTGTTGCTCTCCCAAATCCCATTTTTTTAGCACCAAAACAACCTCACAGCATTCCCACGGGCACAGGAGCACACCCAGAGCACCACAAGTCCCCTCTGCTGCAATGCAGCAGTTCCTTCTCCACCAGAGCTGTGCCACGTCGTGTCCCTCGCTCCTTTCGGCACAGGACGGCTCGGGCACGCTGTGCTGGCTCAGGAAGTGGCTCTGGAGGAGGGGGAGCTCTGGAGAAGTAAATACCAGTGCAGAAAGTTCCAGGGAGAGTCTCCAGTGTTTCCAGCAAGCCATCTAGTGGCTTCCTATTAAAACAGTTGCATGCCTTGGAACTGGGAGGGTGAATGTGGAGGGGTGAGTGCTGCTCACCGCCACAGTCGTGTCAGGAAACTGAGGGACAGAGTTTGGCCCCAACTGGGAGAAGTTGCTGCTCTAATAGCCCTTTTCTGGGTCAGAGATGGTGGGAGGGTTGGGTTAGCTGCTGGCTGGCAGCATGGGTCATGCAGAGTCATAGAATCATGGAATATCATGGAATATCCTGAGATGGAGGGGACCCACATGGATTGTAGAGTCCAGTTCCTGGGTTACACAATATCCTGAGCTGGACATTGATTTGCTCTTGTGCCTTCCCAAGAGCAAACCTGATGAATGATCCCACAGATGGAGATCCAGATCTGCATTTGAGTGGTGTGGGTTCAGTTACCCTACTCAGAACCACACAGAGGCTGTAGGGATAATCAGTGATTTGGAGCAGCTTCTTGTGTGGAATGGATTGAAGACAGCAGACAGGGAGGGAAAACATAAAATTTTGGAGGATTTTTTCAACATTTCACCTGATGAAGCTTTGGGCAGTGTGTTTAAAGCAAGGAGGAAGGAGCATTCTCCAGCACACAGCTCAGTTGTGGCTCCTGTAGCACAGCCTAAGACAGGGCTGGAGATTTGAAGGCTTTGCAGAGGGATTTGGTCAGCACTGGAGGAGAGACTGCCCTGGGGCTGGGGAGTGTCTGTTGGCTGGTCTGGGTAGATTTGGTAGGTGCTTGGAGTTTGTTTTAGCTCTTTAGAGAAACCTCTGGTGATGGAGATCTCACAATGTCCTGGGCTTACAGAAGGCACTTTCATCATGTCCAACCTCATTCATCTTTGCTGCAGTTCAAGTCAGAGAATCATAGAATTGTTTAGGTTGGAAAATCCCTCCAAGATCACTGAGTTCAACCATTCCCCCAGCACTGCCAAGGCCACCACTGACCCATGTCCCCAAGGGCCACATCCTCACAGCTGCTAAATCCCTCCAGAGGTGGTGACTCCAGCATTTCCCTGGGCAGCAGCAGAGGTGGAGAGCAGCTTGTCCATGCCAGTGTTCACCTCTCAGCCAGGCTCAGGCTGCCTGGTGCAGATTTTCTGTGCCTCAATGGTGTCTGACTGAGGAGGTGCTTCCCAAGCCAGGCCCTTGCCCACCTCGTGCTGCACAGCCCTTTGTTCCCACCTGCATGCAGATGTTTGCACCTGCTTCACGCAGATGTTTGCACCTGCTTCATGCAGATGTTTGCACCTGCTTCATGCAGATGTTCTTTTCACATCTCTTCAAGTCTCATAGAATGTCCTGAGCTGGAAGGAGACCCACAAGGATCATCGAGTCCAGCTCCTGACCCTGCTCAGGACACTCCAATCCCATCCTGTGCTTGAGAGCATTGTCCAAATTGTCCTGGAGCTCTGGCAGGCTGGTGCTGTGACCAGTCCCTGGGGAGCCTGGTCAGTGCCCCACCACCCTCTGGGGGAAGAATCTAAGAACCTTTTCCTGATCTCCAGCCTAAACCTCCCCTGACCCAGCTTCATGCCACCCCTTTGAATCCTCAGCACTGTTTGACCTCTAGTCCAGTTTCCTGGAGTGTTTTCCTTTCTCTTTGCACAATACCTGCATGCTGATCACGTTTATCACATCACCCTTATCACCAGTGACATTCTGGGTGGTGCCAGGCCCAGGACAGGTCTCCTTGCCCAGCACATCCTCTGAGTCTCACAGTGAATCAGCAGCACCAGCTCCCTCCATGTGCTTTTCAGATGAGTTGTGTGCCCACATTAGAGCAGTTTCTCTCTGCTGTGCTGCTGAGGGAGCCATGTGCAGCAGCACCTAATGAATATCAAGATATACAGCACTGCCTGTTCCTCCAGCTATTCACAGGCCAGTTGCTCTGTCGCAGAAGGAAATAAAATTGCTCTTGACAAATGGGTGTCGGCAGTCACTTATCATCTTGTTATCTCCTAAGTGCTTACAAATAGGTTGTTTCATTATTTGTTCCATCAGTTTTCCAGGAGTTCCAGTTAAGTGACCAGTTTGTAATTCCCTGACTTTTCCTTCTGCGTATTTAAATCCAACCCCTAGGTTTCTTTTCTTTTCTTTTCTTTTCTTTTTTTCCCTCTTCTTCTGAAACCTCTCCTATTTGCTGTGATCTAACAGAGGAACAGGAGCTCTGGGGCTGCTTCCCTCCTTTCCTTTGGGGCTGGTGGATGCACCAACACCCTGGATGGATGATTGTGTTTCCTCTGGGGTTCTCTCCTGTGTTATCTCCTTTGAATCTTGACCTTTTCAGTTTTTCAGCCAAGTTCTTTTGAAAGGTTAGCTTTACCCACTGAGTGCTTTTGTGTAGTATTTTCTGTAATCTGCAACAGTATGAAAAATTTGGGCCAAATAATGATTTTGATTAAAATAAGAGCGACAGCAGTACAGTTGGAAAATGGCTATAAATGCATTTCCCACATAGAGTTGGGTGTAGTTTGTTTTTTTCAGTGATGTTCAGGGGCATTTGGTAACTTTTGGCATCCAGTTTGGCAAGCTTTGCCCTGACAGTGGTTTTGGAGGGTGGTGACCTGTAAGAATCCGTGTCTGGATAACTATTTAGTGCAATACAACAGTGACCCCCTTGCCAGGGAGACGCTCATGCTGTGCTGCCACATATGGTGGTGTTCACAGGGGTCCCAGGACCAGGGGAGAGACGAGAATGTTGACTCCATGTTTAGAAGGCTTGATTTATTATTTTATGATATATATTATATTTAAACTATACTAAAAGAATAGAAGAAAGGATTTCATCAGAAGCAAGCAAGAAGAAGAATGAAAACAAAAGCTCCTGACTCTCAGAGAGTCCAAGCCAGCTGACTGTGATTGGCCATTAATTAGAAACAACCAACATGGACCACTCAAAGATGCACCTGTTGCATTCCACAGCAGCAGATAATCATTGTTTACATTTTGTTCCTGAGGCCTCTCAGGAGAAAAAATCCTAAGGAAAGGATTTTTCATAAAACATGTCTGTGACAACCACACGTGCAAATCCCTTCGGCATGTCGCATTTACCCTGCCAGGACCCGGTTATTTCTTTATTACCTCTGTTTATCAATTTCTCATTAATCTCCCTTTTTTCCCCCCCCTCCTTATTCCTTCCACAGGAATCATTAACCAGTGGCAACAGGAATCCAAGGACAAAGTGATCTCCCTCTTGCTGACCCACCTGCCTTTACTCAAGCCCGGCAACATCGAGGCGAAAGTCGAGTACATGAAACTCTTGCCCAAAATCCTGGCGCACTCCATTGAGCACAACCAGCACATCGAGGAGAGCAGGCAGCTGCTGTCCTACGCCTTGATCCACCCTGCCACCTCCCTGGAGGACAGGAGCGCCCTGGCCATGTGGCTCAACCACCTGGAGGACCGCACGTCGTCGTCGTTGTCGTCGTCGTCGTCGGGGGGCTTTGGCGGGCAGGGCCGGGGCCGCTCGGACTCGCTGGACTACGGGCAGGCTCACTACTATCACCAAAGACAGAACTCCGACGACAAACTCAACAACGGCTGGCAGAACTCCAGGGACTCCGGCATCAGCGTCAGCGCCTCCAGCTGGCAGGACAAAAACCTGGCCTGTGAGAACGGCCACCTGCCCCTCTACTCCTCCTCCTCCGTCCCCACCACCATCAACACCATCGGCACTAGCACAAGCACCAGTGAGTACTCACGGGAGGATCTGGGGACAGTCCCCCCCATCCCACTAGGAATTGCTGCTTTGGCGTGGTTAGCACAGGGGCTGAACTCATCTGGGCCATAGAAAACTCTTTTTTTTTTTTCTTTATTTTTCCTTTCCTCACCTGCGTTTTTTTATTTCCTGCTTGCCTTGTTGGGGTTTTTTTTTTCTTCCAGCATTATGGGGTTTTAAAGACCTGGGTGTGATGGTGCTCGCAGGGGTCTTGGAATGAGGGAAGAGATGAGGATCTGACTCCATGTTTCAGAAGGCTTGATTTATTATTTTATTATATATATTATACTAAAACTATACTAAAAGAATAGAAGAAATTATTCCATCAGAAGGCTGGCTAAGAATAGAAAAAGAAGGAATGATAACAAAGGCTTGTGTCTCAGACAGAGAGTCCGAGCCAGCTGACTGTGATTGGCCATTATTAGAAACAACCACATGAGACCAATCACAGATCCCCTGTTGCATTCCCAGCAGCAGATAACCATTGTTTACATTTTGTCCCTGAGGCCTCTCAGCTTCTCAGGGAGGAGGAAAAAAAAATCCTAAGGAAAGGATTTTTCATAAAATGTGTCTGTGGCACCTGGGAGCTGGAGAGGAGGGAAAACAGCAAAGAGTAAGAAAAAGTTAGATGGGCCTTACTGAAGGGAACCCCTTGTGTTTCATGCAGCTTTGTGTAGATTTACAGTTCATGTTTCAAGAGTGCCTAAAGCAAGCAGGAAACCGATGCTTCATGTCCAAAAGTGAGCTGGAGGCCTTGAGGCAACTCCCAAAGTGTGCTGAGGACTTAATGAGAGGAAATGGGATTGGGACCATGAGTGCAGGCAAAAGTTTTGGAAGCAGAGCAGGAATCCACCAGCTTCAGGGTATCTGAAAAGGTTCCCTTGTATTTGCAGGGCAGAGGTGTGAGGCTGGTGGTGACAGAGGAGTTTAATGGACAGTCCTCAGTGTTTTCCAGGAGAGCTGGGTGGTTCTTCTCCCATGGAGACCTTGCCAGGCTTTGATGGATGGTGCAGAGCCCAAGCCAAGGCTTGGACACATGGAGAGCTCCATGACTGGAGATCTGTCCAGCACTGGGTTTTGTGTGAAGCTGTAGTGCAGCTACAACTGGTGTTCAAAGCAGCCATTGATTCCTGTGAGCCTTCTTTGGGACAGCAGGAATGCAACGCTGAAAAGATGATTCTCATTGGGGTTCAGAAGCTCCCCTGCCCACCCACTCACTCTGTCACACCTTTGGGTGACTGCCACCATGTCACCTGCAGGGCTGCATGTCCTCCTTCACTCTGGGATACTCAGAAATCTCTCCAAGATGCTTTATCAGCATCTCCTAGAAATCAGGGATGCCGAGAGCACTTTGGGGAGGAGAGGCTTCTTGTGGCAGCAGCCCTGGTTTCTTTATTAGAGTGTGGAAAGCCACAATTAAATAGCTAAAAGCTTTAAAATGGTCATTTAAGGCTTCTGGGCTTTTCTCTCTCCTGTAAGAATTGCCTTTTTTTTTTTTAAAGTGGTGTTTCAAATCAACAGCACTATAAAACACAGCTCTGGGTTTATTGCTGTAGCACCCTGGTCCCTGCCTCTCCTGTGTCCATCCTTGCAGGCAGGTGGGGATTTAGCAGAAGGCTCTCAGCTTCTCCACAGGCTCTAAACCATCATTCCCATCCAGCCCCCTGTCTGTGAAGCCCCCAGCTCCTGCTGCTGTGGGATTGTGTGATGTTCAATTCTCTGAGAGCCAGACCCTGCACTGTGAAGCTGTTCCAGGGTGACTGAGCTGCATGGGAAGGTCTAACAAGGAGGCAGGGTGAGAAAAACCCCATGAATCTACTTGCAGTCGGTTTGTTAAAGCTCTCCAAGGGTTTTTTTGGGGGGGTTTTCCATGTGGTTTTTGCATGCCTGGGGTTCAGAGGCTTTGCACACCATGGAAAGGGTCTGGCTCCTCGTGTCAGGATCTGGGAGCAGGGAGGTGTGGTGGGTTCAGCAGGTTGATCACTGACAGTGGCTGGAGCTCTTGCAAGTGTTAGGTCTTGAAGGACTCTTTCCACAAACGCCTTGGTGGATTTTTGAGCCTTTCTGTGCTCACATTTAGCTCTGAGCAGAAGCATTGACCCACCCCTTGCCCGTTGCGGTCCCCAGGTGTTGGCACAAGATTCCAAAACTGAGGCAACAGCTGAATTGCTGCAGTGCCTGAGCTGCTGCAGTGCTGTGGTTTCTCCTAAATTCTCTCAGAATTCAGTGTGTTCAGCAGCAGCTGGGGCAGGAACACCTGTGGGTCTGCCAACAGCCCTACACTTCACCCAGTCCTCTGCTTGAATTCCTCCTCAATCTCTGCCACTTGCTTGGCTGCATCATCCTCTGCTAGCGATAGTCCAGGCCCACGGGTTAGGCTGTTGTAACTCCTGCAGACGTATTTTGGTGGCACCATGCTCAGACAGCCGTGGGCTGAGCTGGAGGTGACCCAACCACACTTCATGTGTCAGTTCATAAACTTCCTTAACACAATATTTGGCTTGGGCAAAAGCCTGGTAAGTCCACAGATAGATGCTAAAAAATAAACACGGCTGTCAGCCTTTGTCCCAGCCCCTTGACTCAATCGATATGTTTATTAATCTTTTATTCCAAAGCAAAGCCCTCAACTCCTTAGTGTTTGTTTAGGTTTTAGTGTTGTTATTAGTTTTAAGTTCTCCCTCTTACTCAGAGGTGTTTATCTGTGCAGAGGCTTTAATCCAGCAACACCCTGCAGGGCTCAACCTTCCCTGACCCATCCCTGCAACGCCACTGCCTGTTCCTGACACCAAAATGGGGCAAAGTCTTTCCCAGAGCAGTGATGTGGTGATGTTGCCTGAGCTATGTTCTTCTGGTGCTGTGGAACAATGAGATTTAATGCTGTCATGGCACAGGGCTGAAATATGGGTGGCTGGAGCTCATGTGATGTTTTGCTTTGTGCTGTCCTTGACTTTGACTTGACCTTGACTCCAGTTTTGAGAGTTGGTTCAGGAGTGGTTCATCTCCAGCTCTCCCATAACTGGGGTTAGCAGAGGTTAGTCAAGGCTTAAGGAGATGTTTCAGGAGGCAAGTCTGGCCAGTGTTCTAAGTGATGATTTTGGGTCTGGAGTGATCAGGACTCACCCCAGACAATGGAAGCTGGCCCAGAGAAGCTGTGGCTGCCTCATCCTTGGAAGTGTTCAAGGCCAGGCTGGATGAGTCTTCAGTCTGGTCTAATGGAAGGTGTCTGGCCCATGGCAGGGGAGTGGAACCAGATGGGCTTTAAGGTCCCTTCCATCCCAAACCATTCTGGGATTCTGTGATGTTGGTGTGCTCCTTCCCACCCACTGCATCAGCAATTCCTGCAAAGCTTGAGATGCAGCTTTAAACCAAGCTTTAGCACTCCAGGAGTACAGACAGCCCTGGCATGGGCTCGGGAGCACAGGCAGGGAGGAGGCTGGAGCTGGAGCTGGAGCTGGAGCTGGAGCTGCTCCCCGTGGGGTTGGGTGAAGCCTGGAGTCCTGCCTCTGTGGCCAGGTCAGGCAGCAGTTGCAAAATGTTGGGCTTGCACAACGTCTTTGTGATGGAGACACGGCCTGGAAACTCTGAAAGGACAGAGGAAGGCAGCTGGTTTGCAAAGCTGCCAAGAGCTTCTTGTGTGGGGCTCCAGCCCCTTCCCTGCCCCTGGAACTGGCTCCACCCCAGCACTGATGGCACAGCTGGATTTGCTGTCAGATGGAAGCACAGCTCAGCCCTGTGTTTTCCACCCTCTTGGATGGAAATCTGTGCAAAGGAGGGTCTGTCATTAGCTGTGCTGAGGAGGAGGATTGCAGATACACTGGTCTCATCTGGACCATAAAGTCCCAGGTCAGTGAGGCACAGATACAGTCAGAGGCCTTGCCAGGGAATATCCCAGAGAGCAGGAATCCTTGGCACTGTGTTCACACTGGAGGGATGTTGCACTCTTTGGTGTTCCAGTGTCACTGCAGTGCCTGGCTTCCCCTGAGAGGGAGCAGAGAGGTCCTGGGACCAGCAAAGCTCTTGCCAGTCTGGAGCCACCCTTCCTCTCCTGCAGAAATGGGAAAGATGCTGGTGCTCAGGCCTGCTGCACCCTTCCCATGGGAGGCTCTGCCAAAAAACTGGTGGTGTTTGTACACAAGGAGAAGGAGAGCAAGCAGAGCAAGGGAGGAGAAATACTCACCTGTGCAGATTTCTTGTCCTGAAAGAGAAAAATCTCCAGATTGTCCTAGAGCTGAAGAGAAGTAAATCAGAGCTCTTCCTTCCATGCACCCCAGGCCAGGTTCAGACTGACAGAGGGCAGGGTTAAACTGGATATTGGGAAGAAATTCTTCCCTGTGAGGATGGCAAGGCACTGGTTGGCCAGAGAAGCTGTGGCTGCCCCTGGAAGTGTCCAAGGCCAGATTGGGCAGGACTTGGAGCAGCCTGGGATAGTGCAAGGTGTCCCTGCCCATGGCAAGGGATGGTACTGGATGATCTCTAAGGTCTCTTCCAACCCAAACAATTCAGTGTTTCTGTGGTCCTGCCCTGGAGGCAGATCTGCAGCTGCTGTGTCAGAACATGTGTGTGTGTGTGTGTGTGACATGGCCTGCAGGATTTGCCAACATTTGCTGCAGTTGTGGAATCCCCAGTGAGAGGGCAGATGAACGTGCTGGAGCTCTCCCCGAGCCATCAGGGAATTGAGGGGGAACAAACCACACCAAGAAAGCTCTTGCCATGAACAGAGTGTGGGTTTCCTGACTCTTGCTCCCCTACCTGCTGTGCAGCAGCTCTCTGCCTTCCTCTGGAGACAGCCCTGTTGCCATAGCTGGTGCCCAAACTGGGCTGATAATGGGATATCTGCATGTTTTAACTCACAGGACCACCCTGATCTGTGCTGGGTTGATAGGCACCTTCAAAGTTGTTGTCCTCTGTGTAGATTTCAGCAACAGCTGAAGGGAGGGAATTGTGTGTCCTCAGCCTTGTGTTTGCCTCACA